TCTCAGTACCTTTAGTCAGGGAACATAACTGCACCATAATCCACTGAAATGATATGTTCTAAGCTGTACTGACTCCACACACCCCGTCTCGTCTCCAGGCTTTTATTTTACTGTTCTGTTTTAAAACATTCGGTTATGAAAAGGTACAAATACGAACTTTTCACCTGGAAAAACTTATTTAAGGTTCACAATCAGACCTTAAAACCACTGTTGTACCTTTGAGGGAACATTTATATTGTTTGTACCTCGATGAATGAAAAATGTACCTGAACAGAACCTTTATTTCTAACAGTGTGGTTGACACCGGATAGCAAAACAATAACGTAAGAGAGATATGAACAGAAAATAAGGTTTTACCATTGATATAAAATATTAAAATAGAAAAAGGGTGGGAACAGTCAGTCACTGGACAGAAGTATTTAGATTAAGTGTTACACAGCTGTAAACACGATGCGTTTTTTTTTTTCGTTATATACAGTTGCGTGAGCGGGAAGGCATCTGCCAAGTGCTGACTTGAAAGTTATCAACAAGAAAACGCAAAATGGACGATATATAAGGCTGGAGTTCCACAAACCAAGTCTTTTTGTACTCTGGGCTAAAAACAGTGTACAAGTCAAGCCTGTCGACTCGTTTTGTAACGGGAGGAGAAAAGTCATTTAAACAGTTCAGGTGAGGGCCTTGTTCCAATCCAAAGAAAAGTGAGACCCTGCACGCTTTGCATATTCCATATCACTCCGCACTTCCATGATGGGGATGAATGAATATGACAGTTTAAAAAAAAAAAATCAGCTTGGTCTTGTCTATGAATTCACTAACAAGTCTTATTTAGTGCATTGAGAGAATGAGAGACATGAAGTCATGCCTGATTAAGTTTCCCTTCGTTAGAAGTTGCTCTGCATGAAAATGCATTAATAACTAAATAGCTTAACATCTGATGTACATAAACTCTGCAAATAACACTTGAAGGTCAGGTACCTTGTTTTAGGTGAACAGCATATTATTATTAATCATACATGGTCAAAATAAAACCTTGTAAATGTGAGTTAAGACCTAAAACCCCAAAGGCTCTGTTTGTGGGTCCACCAGTGGTAAACTGTGTCTTTTAGAGCTAGGCCTTCAATTCAGGCCATAAATGTTAGAACTTGATCAAAAATGAGGAAAAGAAGTCTCTGCATACTTTGTTAGCCCCCTTTTACCCTGTTCTTCAGTGGTCAGGACCCCCATGGACCCTCACAGAGCAGGTACGATTTGGGTGGTGGATCATTCTCAGCACTGCAGTAACACTGACGTAGTGGTGGTGTGTAAGTGTCTGTTGTGCTGGTACGAGTGAGGTGTTTAAAAACTCCAGCAGCACTGCTGTGTCTGATCCACTCAGACCAGCACAACACACACTAACACACCACCACCACATCAGTGTTACTGCAGTGCTGAGAATGATCCACCACCCAAATAGTACCTGCTCTGTAAGGGGGATCAATGGGGGTCCTGACCACTGAAGAACAGGGTAAAAGGGGGCTAACACTACACGACTTTTAAAATCTTAATCTCCTCAGAGATCACGTGACACAAACAAAGCTAAACTAACTGGACCGGACCTGTTTGGGCTTTTATGCGCAGTGAAAGTGTAAACTGGGGATGAATATGTGGTGAGAAATGTTGATATTACAGTGAGAGCTGGAGAAATATTTCACTACAAATTGGCAGCTGAGCTGAAAGTGTGGAGTGTTTTGACTTCTGGATCCAACATTATAAACCTGATATCGGCTCTAATCTGCCTGTGTTTTACACTCAGCTCCTCTGTCTCCACTCCACTGTTCAGGTGTTCATATGCATCTCTTCACCTGTTTCTCCAGTCTTCTAGCTCTCTGATTGGCTGTTGTTTGAATCACTCACTGAGTAAATCTCTGACCTTCTCACACGGCAGGACGGCAGGATGTCTTAAGGCAAAAGTTTGATAGTATCAGAGGGTCTCTGATCACTTCAGAGCAGATCGGAGGGCTAAAGATTCACCCGTTGCTCCTCTCACACTAACAGATAATCTGCGGCGTCAGTCACTTCCGATCGAGCTCTCGACCTGGAAAATCACTTCAGATTGTGAAAATTTGTTGCAAGAGGCAAATCAGGGTTAAAATCGGGCAAAATATTGTGTTGTGTATGCCCAGCTTAACTGAAACCTAGACTACGGCTCTAGGCAGTGACTGTGTATCTAGAGCTTACAAACGGCCTTGAGTGACCTTTTTTCTCCCAAAATTGGCCCCACATGTTTCTAATTATGTTATGTTAGCTGACATGTAAGGCTTTCAGTCCAGCTCCTGAAGTCCTAACCAATGAGAGAGGTTATCTGGCTGTCTCTGTCTGGATACCCCAGAGAAATCAATCCTGACTGGACAGTTTTCCACTGGGTTTTTCAGGATTTTAAGCCTTTTGTTTCCTGACAGACCTTAACAATGAAGTAAAGAGTTTTACTACAATACTGACAGAGTTTTTATACAACAAACTTGATGATTCTATTAAATGAAAATGACATCTTTACTTACCGAGTTTGCTTTGAGCTGTGTCTGGTTCTCGTTGTCGTGTTCTAGTGCAATGGGTGAGGATTTCTGTGGAGGAGAGAGTGTGAGGTCCCTGCGCAGAGGCCGAGCCTCTAGTTTCTCCCCCATGCGGAGAGTGTCCAGCTTTTGCACTGAGGAAGAGTCCGGACTGGGCCCTTCCCGGCTGTCCCGGGCCCCCGAGGGCCTCACTGTGTCCCGGGACTCCCTCTCTCTCTCCCTCTCTCTCTCCCTCTCTCTATCTCTATCTTTCTCTCGGTCCCGGGTTTTGCCCCGTCTCTGCAGCGTGTGTGAGCGAGACTCAGAGTGACCGTGATGCTCCGCCCCTTGCCCATAGGGCTTCTGGGAATTGGAGTCCATGGGCTGCAGCGGCCTCATCTCCATCTCGTAGTTGCTGAGCTTCTCCTCATCCTGCTCCAGCAGGCGGGAGTGGGCCAGGCTGTCGCCATGACGATGCGAAGTCCAGGACGCGGACGGACAGTCCGCCCACCTCTCCCGCGAGCTTTTGTGATTGGACGAGCCGTGCTCTCGCGGCTTATGATTGGAGGAGGAGTGCTTGTGGCCGTTAGCATCCGGCACGGATGGTGTGGTTGAGCGGCTGCTGCCCCTGCTGCCACCCCTGCTGCTGCCGCCACGTGACGAGCGCTTGTCCTTTTCTTCGCTCCAGCTGTTAGCCTTCAGATAATCTCCTCCACCTCCACCCGACCGTCCCTCGCTCCGCCCCTCACCCCGCCCCTCCAGCAGCACCTGGATTTCAGAGGTTCCACCCCTCTCGTCGTCCACAGCGCTCTGCCGCAGGAAGCGGGCGTTCTTGGTGCGGTGCGAGGGCTTGGAGGCAGGGCTTCGAGGCGGAGTGGACGGCCGGCTCGGCACGGGGCTCACGTCGGGCGTCAGGTCTGGCGGAGTGGAACCCTTCATGTAGAGGTCAGTGCTGTCAGGCGTCCCACTCGAGATGACCTCCCCGTCGTTCTCGCTAGAGTGCTGGTGCTTCGGCCTCTGACACTCCACTCCTGCAAATAGCCACACAGTACATCTCTGAGGGTCTTTACTTATAATCCACATTACTTTATGGACAGAGATTTTTAACACTATTTCAGACCTTACTGGAGAAAAACTGAGCCCCGTGTATTTATTGCAATGTCTGGTGTCATTGTCTTATTCCCTTCTCTGAGTACATTTGGAAAACAGGTTTCATAGCTCTGTAACTCTTCTAGCTCAACCCACACACGTAGCATTAAACACGTCCTCCTCATGGAAAATTAGATTATCTATAAAGGCTCATCCAACAATTTTCTAGCATTTGGGGACTAATTTTTTCCATAATTTAAAAAAGATTAAACTTCCACACCCTCTGACCTGAGTTTGTCCAATTTGGGAAATGTTGGAAAATGTTTTCTAGGGAATTAGTCAGGTGATGTCATGGTGTTTACTTGTTTAACTCACGTAGATCCCCCCCCCCACACACACACACAGATACATATATATAGTTTTGTTTCTTTTTTTGTTCTATTTTCTAACTAATTTTATTATATTCTATATATGCATATTAATTATTTTTACTTATATATTTAGTCTTAAGGCTTACACCTTACACACCAAGCGTGATTTATTTGTGCACTGAGGACAGTCAATTGATTCAGTCGCATTTATAACTGAGGATGTTTTGCACAACAAACACGACTTTTCAGATGGTGAAAATGTGACAACAGCATGAACCAATCACTGCTGCCACTCATGTTGACATGTCGAAAACTAAAATGACGCAGCAGCTGAAGGATCAGAATCTCCAAAAGCAGCTCAAAACTGATTCTAACTGGACTGCAAATATCTGCGTTGTAGCCTGTGTGGAAGCACTCAACATTTCAGCATCTGAATAAACTAATGAAGCTCTTCAGGCTACTTTCACTTTTCCAAAAACAGTAGCTCAGTGTCTGTGTTGACATGCAAGGATTTTGGCCAATCCGACTGAATACATTCCGATTATAGATTAAAACTGAGGTGTTTATATTCTCACTCAACAATCTGATGGAAAAGTAATCCGATCCAAAATGACGCGCATGCGTAGAGAACCATTTAGTGTAGACGTTACCATGACAATGAGTAACATCTACACTTAATTGCTCTAAAATGATGTCAGACTCAGGAAAACGTTCTTCGCATGTCCTTATTAAAGAAGGCCAAGAGGACGACGTTGTGTTCTGAGACACATAAGCTGGACGCCCTGCTGGATTTCCTGCTAATGTATTGGCTTCTGTTCACACATGATCCCTGCCTGTAACTTCCCGGTTGTTGAGTCTTGTGGAGATAACTTGCTGTGTCAGCTTTACTAGGATTTCCACTCTGGTTTGCATCCACAATTAACCTCGTCCTCTTTAATTACCGTAAAATTCTTGGGTAAGAGTGCATGTGTGACAGGGGCTCCAGATGTTCTGCCCCACTCCAGACAAGTGTTCTGAGGAGGTTTTAATGAGTCAGCATGTAAACCTACAATTATATATAACTGTGGTCAGTAATTTCCAAATTTGTTCGCTTTCACAATCATATATGTTTCAGCCAGCAGAATGTGACGTGCTTGCATTTTTATCAGGTAAGTTTAGGCCAGGGGTCGGCAACATGTGGCTGCAGAGCGCTGGCGTGCAGACTGCTGGTCACCATAGCAACGCAAGAGATAACAATCTCACCAAGTTAGAAGCTAACAAAATGACAAAGAGAACGATTTAAGATGGACATCGATCGTTTGGAGACGAATGGACTTATTTGTGTTTATAATCACTCCAGCTGGTTTCCTGATACGTTTAATCTGCAACGAGAAACTGACAAACACTAAAAAGTCGCTGAAGTCGCTTCTCATTCGCCAGCTTCTCGTTCAAATTTTCACGTTCCACCTTAAATGGTGCAGCAGTTACATTCTGGCGCCTCAGGCACCGTTTAAGGTGGAAAGGGAAGATTCGAACAAGAAGCTGGCGAATGAGAAGCGACTTCAGCCTCGTAAAAATGCTGAGAGGCATTTTACAAGAAACTGTTCTACTTTCGAATGAGAAGTTTCCTGTCAATAAAATGGTCATGAAATGTTGTGGCTCCCAAGTTGCTTTGATTTTTGTTGAGAGGACAAAATGCCTCTTCTTAACATTTGGGTTGACGACCTCTGGTTTAGGCAAGTGCATGTAAATAAAAGAAAGTGGAAAAAACATTTATTGAGACGCGTCAGAGGTCTAACAAACACTTCTGATTGGTGCTGTAGCACCTTTAGAGGGCAGCAGTGAGTACTGTTTGTTTATTTGAGATTAAGATATTTCTTAAAAATTGGGAACTACTAAGTAGATCCAGAAACTGTAAAAATATATTTCTCTGACAAAATAGTGCATCTGTACATTGTCTTTTAAAAAGAGCTTATATAGAGACATGGAGTCCTCATTAGCATCCAGTGTACCAGTTAGTGTCAGTTCATCAACTCATCTGAAGTGGCAGCTCTTGTTACTCATCAGACACAAAACCTACCGATTTTCATGGCTATTTTTGAACAATAAAACATGTTTTCACATTTTAACCTCATCTAAACAAAAGTAAGCCTAAAGCCCTAAGCTAATTTTGCCCAAAGACCACCCCCGCCCCCGCGCCCCACCGCCTTCTTGTTTTTGTTATGCTTCTTTCTCGTCAATTAGGCGACGGTCTATTCATTCTCTTGCATCTCCCTACTACACCAACCGGCCACTTCATTAACTAAACCTCCATGTTTTTGCGCTCATTGTCCATTTTATCAGTTCCACTGACCATAAAGTTTCACTTTGTAGTTCTACAGTTACAGACTGTAGTCCATCTGTTTCTCTGCATACTTTGTAATCCTGTTCTTCAGTGGTCAGGACCCCCCAGGACCCCCACAGAGCAGGTATTATTTGGGTGGTGGGTCATTCTCAGCACTGCAGTAACACTGACGTGGTGGTGGTGTGTTAGTGTGTGTTGCGCTGGTATGAGTGGATCAGACACAGCAGTGCTGCTGGAGTGTTTAAACACTGTGTCCACTCACTGTCCACTCTATTAGACACTCCTACCTCATCAGTCCACCTTGTAGATGTAAAGTCAGAGACGATAGCTCATCTGCTGCTGCACAGTTTGTGCTGGTCATCCTCTAGTCCTTCATCAGTGGTCACAGGACGCTGTTGGCTGGATATTTTTGGTTGGTGGACTATTCTCAGTCCAGCAGTGACACTGAGGTGTTTAAAAACTCCAGCAGCACTGCTGTGTCTGATCCACTCAGACCAGCACAACACACACTAACACACCACCACCACGTCAGTGTTACTGCAGTGCTGAGAATGACCCACCACCCAAATAGTACCTGCTCTGTGAGGGTCCATGGGGGTCTTGACCACTGACGAACAGGGTAAAAGGGGGCTAACAAAGTATCAGAGAAACAGATGGACTACAGTCTGTAACTGTAGAACTACAAAGTGCCAAATGACAAATATTCAGGCTTTGATGTGGTGGCTACTGACGTTTTAGCTATGGGAGGCTCTTTCGTCCATTTCGGTCTATCGC